GCCCCCGGAGGGCCGGCTGCTCACGGACCTGGGCAAAGTGCGGGAGCATGCCATTGCCTTCTACTGGGACTTGTTTGCGGCTGAGCCTGTCTGTCCGCGGGCCACCCAAGAGCTGCATCGGGACCTGCTGCGCCTGGGCGCTTCGCAGGCTGAGGCCCTGGAGCGCGAACTCTCCCTGGCGGAGCTGGAGGCCGCGGTGGGGGGGCTCGCCTTGGGCAGGGCCCCGGGCCTGGACGGCCTGCCCGCGGAATTTTACAGAGCCTTCTGGCCCCTCCTCGGGCCCAGCCTTCTCTGCGTCTTCTGAGAGAGCCTCGCCGACGGGACCCTGCCGACCAGGTGCCACTGGGCCGTGCTCACCCTGCTGCCCAAGAAGGGGGACCTTGGCTGCCTGAAGAACTGGTGGCCCGTCTCCCTCCTGTGCACCGACTACAAGATCCTGGCCAAGGCGCTGGCGAACTGTGTCCGCACCATCATGGCCTCCGTCATCGGGCCCGAGCAGAGCTACTGTGTGCCGGGCAGGACCATCCAGGACAACTTTTTCCTGCTGCGTGACCTGCTCGTGGCCATGGAGCTTTTTGGCCTGGACGTCGGCGTGCTCTCCCTGGACCAGGAGAAGGCCTTTGACCGCATCGACCACCGGTACCTGCTCGGCACCCTCGAGGCCTTTGGCTTCAGGTCGCTCTTCACCGCGGCGCTCTGGGTCCTGTACCACAACGCCTCCGGGCTGCTCAAGGTGAATGACGCGCTGTGCTCCTCCGACATCGCCGCATCCGCCGCGCCCTGCCACCAGCGCCGGGCCCCACCACCGGCCCCCCGCTCTGGCTGACGGCATACACGGATGACGTGACCATCTTCCTGGGCAGCCAGGAGGACGTGCGGGGCCTGGTGGACTGCCAACGTGCCTACAAGCTCGCCACCTCGGCCCGCATCAACTAGGGCAAGAGCGACGCCTTCCTGCGGGGGATGTGGGCTGGCACGCCACCTCCGGACCTGCTGGGAGGCCTCACCTGGTGCCGGGAAGGCCTCAAAGCCCTGGGCGTGTTCCTGGGGCCGCCGGCCTTTGCGGCCCGCAACTTGGAGGA